CGCGTCCTTCGCCCCGCCTCCTCTCATGTCCACCCTCACGCCCCCTCCCCCGTGCTGACTCCGTGGGGCCTCAGTCCTGGGGCCCAGGGGCCGGCCCCGGCGGGAGTGGGGCCCGCGAGCCGGTGCCCTGAGCCCAGGCTGAAGGGTGCTGGGTGGGGCGGCTCCCGAGTCCCTGCGCTGTCAGCGGTCTCCTAACCCGCGGACGGGCTGGATCGCGGCGTCTGTTCGTCTCGCCGACCGACGCTCCACGGGAATCGCGCCTGCCTCTGCGGGCAGCGCATCCCGGCGGCCGGCGGCCCTGAACGCACAGGTGTGTGTGCACCTGAGCGCACAGGTATGTGTGCACCTGAGTGCACAGGTGTGTGTGCTTGCTTGTGTACATAAAGGAGTTTTTCATAGAGATGAGAGCAAGCTCTTCCGAGCCTGTGAGGCAGCGCTGAGGAGCCCCCGTGGCTCCGCCCACGTGAGCGGCAGGAGCCGCCGGTCCCCTCGGCCTCCTCCTGCGCCCCCTTCAGGCCGCGGGGACTGCTCGCTGGCCGCCTGCCGACATGCCCGCGGTCACCTGCCCCGGGTCCCAGGCCAAAGTCTCTGAGAAGGAAAGCGCCGTCCGTCGGCAGGCAGCCCCGCTGCGGGGGGCTGGGCCCTCAGCCTCCGGAGACCTCCTGCTGGGCCTGGGGCAGCGCACCCCCACGCTGCTCCCCCAGTGCGACTGCAGCCTGTGGTTGGGGGTTCGCAGCAGCTCCGGGGTGTGCGGCGCTCGCGCCTCTGGTGTGACTGAGCCCTGCCGCCCGGGCTCCCCGGGGAAGGTGCAGGTCACCCTCGCTGGTCTCCTGCCAGCCTCGAGCGCCCGGTCGGCAGCTGGGCGCGGAGGCCAGACATAGCCTCGCCTCCCCACCCCCCTTCCCGCGCCCGTGCCGTGGGGGCGCAGCTTGAGAATTTAAGTGGCCTCGAGAGCCGGCGCCCGCTCCGGTCAGCGCGGTCAATCCTGAAAACGGGCCTCTGGCCCACTCGTGCTCTCCAGCCTCCAAAAACAGATGTCTCCCCCAGCACACCCTCTGGCCGTCCAATTCTGTGCAAGTTCCTGCTCCAGTCTCTCAGGTAGAGGGTGTTCTGGTGAGCTTTGATTTACTTTTAATTTCAATTTTTTATGAACGTAAATTTGGTGAACCGCCGCGGCAGGCAGCGCCGCCGTTATATACGGCCGCGCTCTCCCTGCGCTGCGTGACAAAGAAATATGCTTGTTTTCTTGCTGCTTTTTACTGTAAATTGAGCTGGTGATTTAAAAAGAGCAGGTGGCTTAACTATTGGGTGACTGACACCGAGGGCGAACAGGGCGGAAGAGAGGAGGCCCGGAGGGGGCGGGGTGGGGCCGGGGCGGGGCCTGGGCTGGGGCGGGGCCTGGGCGGGGTCCGGGAGCCTGCTGGCCCAGCTATGCCAGGAGGGGGTAGCTAGGTCAGGGCTCGCCCCTGGGAGCAGGACCCCAGGAATTGTGGGGTGATGTGTGCATGGGGGGGCTCCGTCTGACCAGCGAGCAGTCCTGGGGGAGAGTGCAGGGCTGGCCTGAGCAGGCCAGTGGCCAGTGTGCAGGCGTGTGCCTCGCAGGGGTGACTGTGCCCCACTGAGCAGAGGCCCGGGGGAGGGGTGATGTCAAGGTTGGCCCCTGTGGCCGGCACCCAAGGTCGATGTCCATGGCAGGCGGAGGCCTGTGCTGTCAGGGTGGCCCTGTGCCGGGAGCAGTGCGCTGCCAGGGCCTCTGGAGGACGGCTGACCCAGCACGGGCCTCAGGAGCCCCCGTGAGTCCCCAGGAGGGAGTGTGGGCTGCCGAGGCCCGCAGGGCGGCTGGCCCCCGCGCAACCCCAGGCGCGGCCTGGCTGCGTGGGTGGGCGCCCCGCTCCATTTCTTGGCCTCCGCCTGAGCGCAGGCGCAGTCCCCACCCCGACTCCAGAGCCCCGGCCGGCGTGAGCCGCAAAGGGCGAGGACTGGGCGGCGGCCGGGCCAGGAGAGCTGGCAGACGCCCGTCAGCAGAGGTGGAAGCGAGCTGTGGGGGCGGCCTGGGCGGGACGACTCGTGGAGCAAGGCCCTGGGCACTGGCCGTGCGTCCGCCCGCAGGTACATCCGCTCCGAGCGCTCCGTCATCCTCATCAACTTCTGCCTGTCCATCATCTCCTCCAACGCCCTCATCCTCATCGGGCAGACCCAGACCCGGAACAAGGTAGGCGGCCCCCCGCGTGGTCACGTGGCCGTCTGGCCCGGACCCCGGATCGCTGGCCGCCGAGGGCAGAGGCTTGGGCCCC